AGAAGAAGTTGGGATATATAGCTTATAAGCGAAAGAGGGGTATTTCAAAGATAGCATGCCTTTTTAGTAGATATGTTGAACCTCAAGACAGTGTTTGTAGCTGATCCAGTATAGTAACTATATAGCCTTTACTTTGTATAGTTATTTACAGAACAATTTCACATGTTGTAACTCAAAGACTCGAGTGTAGCGTCTGTAGCTAATCTTGAATAATAACTGCATAGCCTACTTATTGCAACATTTTGCTAGCTTTCACAATTTGATCCCAGTCTCGCCATTTTTGAAATGTCAGGTTAGAACCTTATATTTTTCTTGCATATTGATCCCTCTGTAAAATCTCTTGTAATATTTCATTATCACAGGGTTATTTTAATAATTACATGAATAGAACAGTCAAATGTGAGAATTGTAGGTTGTCTGGCATGGTATTCCTGCTCTCACATCAAAGACTTAAGATTGGGATCAAATTGCAAGAGTTGTAGAAGCTCAGGCAATTTTCTGCAAATAACCCTATTTCATAAATGCATCATATGTTCAACAGACTCGAAAAAAGAAAAATGCATCAATAAAGTATCACGAGGCAATTCTTGGAATATTAATTTAAACCATAAAATTCAGAGGATACAAACAAATAGCAGCATTATCACCTTTAGCAAGCCTTCGATCACCTGCCCTGCACCACTCTGTAGTTAAGCACAAGGTCATCAGCTTTCTTCCATATGTATGCTCGCACAGTAGCTAAGCTCATGTCCGGAGGTATGACCTGCAGGAATGCAAGAGTGATTATCACCAAAAAAGTAAAAATAAATAAATAAATAAATAAAAGGTTCTACAGTTCCTGTTAGTATTTATGTGTGAGTGTAGCTGAGTGCTTTCTATGTGCCCAACCATCCAATTCTGAAGTCCTTACAGCATTAGTGGGTAAAAGTTTTCGGACTTGCCTGGTTATTGCACATGATCTCTATAGAAGGCTTCAGTTTTTGCCATGGTTTAAGTCCCGAACGAAAGGAACCATCCCCAACAGATGGAATTGAGATCTGAGCACCAGGCATCCCAGTGGCAAAAGTTCCATCACAGTTCACAATATCTATTGGCTTATCAAGAACCATCTTTTCTATGACATAGTTGACGACCTACAAAAAAGATTGTTGCGACCTCAGTCAGGGCTCAGGCACATAAAGTAAAGTTATAAAAACAAAAACAAAAAAAAAAACAAAAAAAAAAGCAACAGCTAGTTGGGGCTTAATGTGTGTTGAGGAAGTTTATCCAACTCTCACAATTGATTAACATATTTTATGTAATATGCAGAGCCCAGATGATCTATATGAACCAGTCGACTATAATTGACATCATTGGACAGTGTAGAATAAAGGCTCAATTGCTAAAAACAAATTCAGTACTTCAGTTCCTGGAATAATATTTGGTTCGGTACTTCAATTCCAGGCAATAATGGACAGGTAACTCTGATTCAAACCACCACTAACATGGATCACCTGAAGCTAATTCCAGTTGAACAATAGACCAATAAGCATGATCTAAAGGCTAAGTTCAATTTTTTTTTTAATTTATTTTTTATTGTTTTCTTTTCCGGATCATTTAACAATGAAAGAGTAGTCACATGCAATTAAACAATGTTAACCTTAATCTAGCCGAGAACTGAGCACAATATGTTATGATGCGTGAGACGTTTCTAGAGAATTAGAATGCAGATGATTTTGTTTTCTTTTGCCTTGAACTATTCCTCCATAGTGTACACCAAGACAATGATGTTCACCTAGCCAGAGGAGATTCTTACTTTATGTATCCTCAAAATGCGAGGTGCGCTAAGTTTTCCCTGAGTAAGGATCTGCACAGTAGAACCTTCACATGGCTGCAAATAGAAACTACATCTGCCACAAAAAAAAATTGCATGTAACTGGCACAACACAAAAGTAACATCCAGAATAGGAAGGGGGGAGAGGGAGGGGGCGACAGCAAGACAATCATTAATCAGCGGAGGTTACTAATAAAATAGGTAAAAGACAATATGAAAGGATTCATGTTATGAAGTATCACAAAGAAGCAATTATAACTTCTCAGCGACTAAGTAAAACTATAAATTCACCGAGAAACCAAACATAACAAGGACTGACTAGGAAAATTACTTGCTATTCTCCCTTGGAGGCAGGCGATTGTTCAACACACAATCAAGAACCCACCAAGGGAAGTCTTTCTCATCTTCGGATCCATCAAGGTCGGTAATTTTCTTTCTCCAAGGGCCTCCTTGAGTGCCTTCAGTAACAATAGAAGGAGGAGCAGCTGAAGAAAACTCGAACGGAGGATACACAGTCGAATCATTTTCAATGAAACCATCTCCGCCTTCGACTCTAGATAATGTTACTGTTCTTGCAGACAAAGCATTTCCTGAAGGAATCTCACCATTTGCAGAAGTTTGAGATCCAAACCTCTGCTTTCGTCGAGTTGCCCAGTGTTGCAACAGTCCTTTAAGGGTTTCTCTAGCCAAATTGACCTATATATTCATAATTCAGCAAATACACAGAAAGTCTAATAAATAATCATCACAAACTAAACAATTAGAAGCCAGGCATATCTAGCAAACCTAAAACTACCTGCCATTAAAGTAAAAGCCACAAAAGCATTAACAGAACAGAATTTATGGCACAGCCCAATGAGTGCACACGTTAAAAGGAACCAGTAATAGACGATCCACTGGATAGCAAAGATGCACTTATGGAATAGTTGAAGATAATTCTCATGTAATTACCTTGTCGTCCTCAGGCTTTCCAGCAATGCTGAGATCAACAGAGTACATCTCAGCAGAAAAGCATTGTGGCGTGTCTAAGTGTACCGACAAACTCCCAAGTCTTGTATCTACAGTGAACCATGCAGGAACACTCACCTGAACAAGCATACATGTTAAATGGCTTGATGTGGTACAATGTACGACACAGCAAGTACAATATAAAGATTCATACCATCTCAAACAATTCTTCTTTCTTCTTCTCAAACGAAACCTAATAACAAAGTACATAAGAGTCAGAAAGCAAGACTCTACTGAGACAGAGAAGGGAAAAAGGTCAAAGTCCTCATGTACAGAATTATGTGATATCATCGGCTGTCAACCTCGTATAGTCCTCTCATAGACAAATAACCATGCAGAAAAATTATGTCCAAAATATGACACTAACCTCTCCATAGTTTTCAATAACTACACCTCTAGTAATTTCCCACAGCTTCACAGTGCCAGCAGTGTCCTTGAAAAAGTCGAGTAGAACAATCAGATTAGCACACAAAATTTACAAGAAAAACAATAATTATACGCCAACGGTTATTCCAAGTATACAAATTATGAATGGGCTAATGAATACATCAAGTTACCTTAGTCAGGACATGTCTTCTGTTGTTTAGAATCTCATGCTGCACTGTTGCCGAAGTTCCGTCAATGGTAAATGTTGGTTCTCTACAAACAGGTACCTTAAAAAGAAAATAGGCATGAGTTTCTCAGCTTTAGCTAAGTATACAAGCAATATAAAAAAGGCCTAGTGGAGGAGTCAAGGGGATAACATAAAACATCAATTCAGAGTGCACAACAGCATACTTGGTAGTTGGTACTATGAGTGGATAACATTTTACGGCCAATTCTAAGTAACTTTCGGAGACCAATAAGAAAGAAAGAAAGAAAGAAAAGATGATGCTATTTAGTCCATCAGGTGCAGATTGTTTGGCAATGCTATGATTTTCTTTTTGATTGATAACGGGCTTCAACTTCACATGAAACACAACCTAAGAACAAATAATGAATCTACATAAAGCAACAGTTATCCGGTTCCAGCTTCATTCTATCAAAAAGGAGATGTAGAAATTTCAAAGT